GAGACGATCTTTACCAACAGCCATTTTGCATGACATTTCCCATGGTGCACCGCTGCTGTCACAACAACACTTCGCCATTTCAGGGTCGGGCCGAAACTCCCGCGAAAGAAATTAGATCAACCGAGCGGAGGTGCAGAATCTGTCCGTTTCTTCATTGAAAACCTCTCTTCCATCCTCTCTCTCGTCCAACGGCTTGGTCATTGTGGTCCAATGCATGTTATTCGGTTGGCGCGAACGAGCTTTTCCAGCGTGGGCCCGGGCTCAAGTGTCAAGTGTCAGCTGTCGGATTTTCCTGCTAACAGCTAGTAAGCTAGCTGAGTGTAAACAAGGTAACGTACCTGGCTTGTGTCATGGAAGCAGCTGTGTGTCATTCTGTATATAATGGTTTTAGTATAAGTGCAAAGTATAATTTGGAGGCAGATTTCTACAACGAGTTTGCTAAATAGCTAGCGGTCCATACCTAACGTTAACACTAGCTAGCTGATCTAACAGGTACTTTAATTGACGCTGTCACTGCGATAGTTAACTTGGGAAGCAATGGAAGCAGTTTCTTGTTCATTCAGTTTAACATAAGCATTGATGGCTTGAGGCAAGTTGCACTGTCATCTGCCCTGCGTATGACAAGATATTCACAGCTAACGGCAGCGTTACCTGCTTCAGCGTGGCCTCCTGCCAATATAGCTCAACATCAAGCTATAATACAGACGCGTTGCTTCTGAAGCAACGCTAAGTAATGCTAGATATAACTGGTCACGTTATTGTGTAATATAGCAACTGTATACTATTGAGAGAATAGAAGTGTTCTAATAACGTCACACTTGATGCAGCAGTATAATACATTAAGAAATAGCACACACATTAAAATGTACTAGTGAGTAGACCTATTGTCTATTGGTTGTGATCAATCAAGCAATTCAAATTCACCTCAATGTTTCAGGATGAAGCGGATTAAAGGAGGAGAGGACAGCGACAGCTCCTCCAGTGAGAGCCCACCGGAAGCTTGCAAGAAGGTGCGGACGCAGACGAGCGAGGAGTCCGAGGCAGCGGCGGCCAGTGAGACACCAGAGAGTGACTGGGTGCGACTGCCTCAGGAGCTCCTGCTGCACGTCTTCCAGTACCTTCCACTGCTGGATCGGGCTTATGCCTCCCAGGTGTGCCGCCGGTGGAACCAGGCTTTCCACATGCCCGAGCTGTGGAGATGCTTTGAGTTTGAGCTTAACCAGCCAGCAAGCTCTTACCTCAAAGCCACACACCCGGACCTCATCAAGCAGATCATAAAGAGGCACTCCAACCACCTGCAGTATGTCAGCTTTAAGGCAAGGGTGGAAAAGCTGTTGCGTCTGTGTAAAAGTATACGTCCTGATTCTGTGTTTACAATGCGCCAGCACCGGCTGGTTCAAACATGTTGTTTTTATGCTTCTGAAGTGACACCCAATGTTTGTTTGTGCTTGCAGGTGGACAGCAGTACAGAGTCTGCAGAAGCGGCATGTGACATCCTCTCCCAGTTGGTGAACTGCTCACTGAAGACCTTGGGGCTCATTTCTACAGCCAGGCCCAGTTTCATGGAGGTTCCAAAGGTACAATTAGCATAAAACCGAGGGGTCTGGGACAGATTTACAAGGAAAACCAAATGAACTCTTTCCATTATAGTTGACCATTTATTTTCATCATATATCGCTTATGCCTTTAATGCTATTGGTGTATCCTAAAAGCTGTGGCTGAGCAGGGTAATAGTTGATTGACAGATAAAAAGACAATGTAAAAACTATCCTGAGTGTCTGTTCTCATGCATGGTCAAGGATAAGGATTACTCCGAACGGCACAGGAGGTTCTTTTTTGTTTTATTTTGTTCTCTTAGTGCACTGGAGATTTTTTTTTCTTCTATGAAATATAAATTCTTTGCGTTGTGACTCCTCATTGAAATTGAAAACGTTCATACGCACATACGTGGATCATGCATTCTGTAGTTCTCATACTCGAGGTACGATGAAGTGCACTAAAGCTCAAGATACAAGTGTTGTCCAATTAGTAGTAGTTGCCCAAACCTGAGGAGGCAGACAGTGCTGCAGCAAGTGAACCCTCACAAGGGATGCTGGAACATGTAGCACTTCTTCTTTAACTCGTTTGCCACATCAGATGAAAAGTCCAGTCTGGACAGGCTTGCATGAGCTAAAAGAGTTTGATTATTGGATTCTAAACCTCTACACACTTCACTTAGAAATGTTCTAGATTTATTCATTTAAATTGTGTCAGTCTATTATTAATATACATTTTATAATTAGTGAATCAAAGCCACTTCGTTTGACTAACATCCATTGTGCCTCTGTGTGACTGACCAAAGATGAATTCCCCATCAATCCAAATATAATTGATTCAAATATGCCCACCAAAAACTGTGACCTGCCCTCTTGGTAGGCACTTCTAAAAAGGTGCTCTGACCATAAAAATTCTAATTCATTCACATTGTTTTTCCTTCCACAGTCTCATTTCATCTCAGCTCTGACTGTGGTGTTTGTCAACTCCAAATCGCTGTATTCGCTGAAGATAGACGACACGCCGGTGGACGATCCGTCTCTGAAGGTCCTGGTGGCCAACAACAGTGACACCCTGAGACTACTGAAGATGAGCAGCTGCCCTCATGTCTCCCCAGCAGGTACCGCGGGAGCAGACACTCCGGTAGCTGTTTCGGTGCTAAAGCTAAGAGGAAGCGGCCTTATCGTTTGTTTTCTCTAGTTTTATTTTGTGGTTCTGGGATGATACTCAACCAAATATTTTCAAGCCATGTCTATGTTGCACTTTCAGTCATGTGTTTTTGATATCCTTTCTGAGTCACAAGGCTTTTTTTTTTTTTAATCCAGTGTCTCGTTTAGAGCCTGTGATCTTCTTGTCTGCCCTCACAGTGTTGTGATTTCATGTGGTGGACTAGCAGACATCGCATGATAACCGTATCCTGTTTCTGCCTCTTGCATACATTTGAATTGTTCAGCTGTGATCATGACTGCTCATTCAACTGCAACTCGTCTGGCAAATATAGTAGACATCTGGAGCAATATTTGTCACCCCGTCGATTGCCACCCCGTTTAAGAAATATAATAACTGGATTTCATGATGAGTTAGATTTAAAAAGCTTAATCTGTCCTTATTTTCAGGCATCCTGTGCGTGGCAGACCAGTGTCACGGCCTGAGAGAGCTGGCACTGAACTACCACCTCCTGAGTGATGAACTCCTGCTGGCCCTCTCCTCGGAGAAACACGTCCATCTGGAACATTTGCGCATCGACGTGGTGAGTGAGAAACCCGGCCAGCACTTCCACACCATCAAGAAGAGCAGCTGGGACGCCATGGTGCGCCACTCGCCCAAATTCAACCTGGTCATGTACTTCTTCCTCTACGAGGACAAGTTCGGCCCCTTCTTCAACGAGGAGGTCCCGGTCACGCACCTCTACTTCGGTCGCTCAGTCAGCAAGGAGGTCCTGGGCCGCGTCGGCCTCCACTGCCCCCGTCTGGTGGAGCTGGTGGTGTGCGCCAACGGCCTGCGTCCTCTGGATGAGGAGCTGATCCGCATTGCCAAGCACTGCACCCAGCTGTCAGCCATCGGCCTGGGCGAGTGCGAGGTCTCCTGCAGCGCGTTTGTGGAGTTTGTCAAGATGTGTGGCCGGAGGCTCTCCCAGCTGTCCATCATGGAGGAGGTGCTGATTCCAGATCACAAATACTCCCTGGATGAGATCCACTGGGAGGTCTCTAAGCACCTGGGCCGGGTCTGGTTCCCAGACATGATGCCGACCTGGTAAAGTGCAGCCAAAGAGGCACACAGTACGTCTAGTTTGTGGTGTGGAACTTTCGCGTCCTCCGTGTTTGCATAGAAAAGCCTTTTAAGCGCTCAGCTGTAGTGGAATGTTTGGTGCCAACATGGAGAGCATAAACTAGCCGGGATGTAATGTGGACACCTAGACGATGTTATCATCTCATGCCATCACTACAAAAGAGACAGTGGGATCCCGCTGTGCTTAATCTGGAGCGAGAACTCACCAGGCCGGCTTCTTCACATATTAAACAATCAGCACACAGACCAGAGAAGGTGGAAATATAGGACGAGAAAACTTTGAGTTTTATGAACATTGTAGCCTGGTTATGATGGTCTACATTATGAGAGATGTGTGTGTGTCCGTCTGTGTATGTATGCATATGTGAGAGTGTGTGTGTTAATGTTTGTAACATTATGGAGTAATTGGGTAAGATTAGGGGCACATTTGCATGTTGGTACATTACCACTTGGCCTCCTTAATTCCAGTCTGAGCTAGCAGCTCTGTACCCGAACACAATATGACATTAGAGGTTATTTGTCCGTTGTATGTGACAAAGCACCTTACATGAAAACCCAAATGATGCCCTAATGAAAGCAAGGACACTTTCTTTATAATGCTCCAATTAGTATTAGTTGGACCCAGATTCTAATGATGAGTTACTGTTCCGGGGTTCTGTTGAATCGGATACCAAGGGCAGTGTATTGAAGTAATAAAGCCATAATTACTAACAAAGGATTCTATGTAAATATAGATAGCGCACTAATGTTTGGAGGTAGAAGAGGCTGAGTTTGCTTTGTAATAGTTCAACAGACTTGTCTCTGCAGCTATTAGCTTACAATGCATGCTGGGAATGCAAAACTTAACCCTTTGTGTCTCCCGGGTGCATTGAATTAATATATATATTTTTCCCTAAATAGGTTTGATTTTTATGTTGTGCTGTTTGCCAGTTGGAGCTCTTATGTTGTGAGTGTCTGCCCTCCTGTGCTGTGTATGGTGTCACCATCTTTTCATTCAAAACTCTGTCTCTACAGATGTTCCAAAACACCAATTACTTTCAGTCGAAAGAGATTTGGAAAGTCGGATGAGTGAAACTAACTTTTTATTTTCCTTTAAGAAGGAAGACGAATGCGTCTGTATATAAAACGCTGTTTGATTATTATGAATAGAAATGTACCCATTTCTTTATTTCGCCCTGTCAGGGTTTGATGTTTCCTGAACCAGCAGCTGGTGTCTTTTATACAACCATAGTGTGAGTTATCCTTTGCTAGATGGATGTTTCATACTGTAAAACGTACACTAGGAGAAGATAAGCTTTGTAATTCATTGATATAAAATTACTTTGCTTCTTTGTATAACCGAAAAACAATCATCAGAAGCAGAGTTGGTTTTTGTTGCTTGTCGGTGGTCCAAAGGTTTCGAGTCCACTACCACAAGCTTTAAACAATTCATCAACACAGACTTTCAATCCTAAACAGTTAGTGAATCTAGCCCCGCCATTGGTTTTGTCTGAAAGATAATTCATCTTCCAGCAGGACAATGGCAGTAAATAAGTTGCTCCACACCTTTTTCAGGAAAAGTATGAATGAAGTCTCTCAGCCTACATTTCAAAGTGTCATGAAGACATGTCAAATACTTTGACAAGTTATCAGTCGTGGACAATGCTGCATGTCTATAGAACTGTAGATATGACTTAATTCCTCTTATCCATGTTGTATTTCATGTAACCATAAGTGATGTAGACTAAAACTGAATCACTTGTTGCAGGAAGTGCTTCATGGACACCTGTGCTGGTTGTCTGTGCTCTTGAGCATTAGCATCTCGATGGTTCAGTCGCATGTCTCCGGACTTGTTCATTGTTTGTGCAGTGCATTAAACGGCTCTAACGTGAAGATGTTGTGTTTCAATACTGTACTGGTTTTCATTTGACCCTGTTCTTTATCAACTTTTATTGGAAATGTCAGTTGGATGAGTCGTTTCATTTGAATCCAGATGAAATAGCCCGTCAGTCATTGTTTGACCCTCATTAGTTCAGAGAGCTGTGTGAGGGGAGAGCTGCTGTCGACGCTGTCCTCGTGATGCTTCTGTATGGATGCTTGGTCTACTTTGCTTAACTGGTCACCTGTCATGAAATTAAAATGATTGTTTTGGACATGTGATCTTATACTGACAATAAAAACATTGAATGTACTCTTTCCATCCGTTTTATTATTTTCCAAACACTGCAGTCATTTGAATTAGTTAAATTAAATGCACAAGTAGAAATTGGGCTATTATTGAAACAAAAAGACCGAAAAACAAGTACACTAGATAGATTTAGACTCTTAAAAAGTATTTAGTAGCTTTTATGAACTTCTGTTCATATCGCATGATCTTCATCAGTTTGGGCAGTTGTCATGGAATTCTAAATTTCCATGTTTTTCTGAGCACTCAGAAGAAGTCCTCGTGCAACGCACCAACAAAGGCCGGAAGAAGACTGCAATCTGACAAATGGAAGTAAAATATTAATGAATAGCTTTGTAAATGTTATGAGTAATGAAAGGCATTACCTCAAGGATTCTTTGATCGACAACTTTTCAAATTCTTCAACATGAAGATTTGTGCTGCTTATCTCAGTTTCTTATTAATATATTTGAAATAAAAACAGATTTACCATTAATGAAAATAATTTGCAGAAACACATTAAAAGTTTTTTGTTAAGGCAAAGGCACCTCTTCATATGTAATCCGCACATAGGGAGGCTTCATCGGCAGATGCCAGTACTCAAAGTTGTAGTAGAGGTAGAAGCTCTTGTCCAACACAACCTTTTCATAAGCCTCCAGCAGACTGACGGCAAAGTCGGCGAACGACTGGTGTGGTCTGAATGTGTGGTAGAAGTTACGGATGTCCACTGCCAGATTCTTCAGGGCGGGCTGTCCGAATATGGCGCTGTCGTTGCCGAGGTAGGTGGGCTCTCCGCTGTACAGGTAGATCTTGGTGTAGTTGGTTTGGGATCTGCTGGATAGTTTGGCTCCCAGCTCAGTCAGCTTCCGGTACGTGCGGTGGACAAACTGGGAGCAGTCGTAAGACTCGAACCACACTGTGGCGTTGGGGCCGGGGTCGGAGCGAACTGTCCACGTCTCGTAGTAGATCCCGGTGTTGTTGTCGTCCTGGACCCACTGGGCCATGTCATTGAACTGGCTCCCTGGACAAAGAAAGACACGATTTTAATACCAGAAACGCCGAGCAGGAAGTCCATCAGAGGGAGGGTGTGAAAATGACTGTGCCAATCAGTCACAAAACTGATGATTAAAACATCACGGTGACAGAGCAGCATTTTGAAAGTTCGTACATCTAAGCAGTTTATTTCTGGGCCAAGGAAGGTGTTCTAGCTGTTCCCAGAATGCAATGGGAAATAAACTGTCAAACCCACAACCTTCTTGGTGTGGGACCGGTTAGCTACTATGCCGCAAAAGTGGCCTTATTTTAATTATAAAATGCAAAACATTCATTAAGCTGACTTTCTTGGCTATAGTACCATATTGGCCATATTTCCCATAGTCCAAAAGAGGTGGTACTGAGAAAGAAAGATTATTCAAATGTTAAAACATCATCTGCGTACAAAGTAATACGATTCTTGTGGTTGTGGGCAGGTATACCGTATTTATGCAGATGAATCCTGATATTGGCAGCCATTATTCAATGGCCACAAGATGAGAGGACGAGTACAATACATTTGTTTCTATATTTTTTCTTATTTTCAACAAATCCCATGAAAAGACCAAAACCAGCAATGTGTTAGTCGGTCTACCCTCTGACCTCACTTCCCTGTCCGAGTGCTCTGACTTCAGCCCATTTGATCCCACTAAAGATGTACATTTTTAAAAATGGCAAATATTGTTTCATTTAAAAAAGTTATTTGCTACAACAGCTGGGCACTGTAGTTTTTAACAAAACTTACTCAGACGGGAGTAAATAGTGCATTTCATGGGGACTATTTTCAACTGCGGATTTATACACATTTGGTGTACTAGTGAGTTTTTACAGCACCAGCAAGACTGTTAGTGGGACTGACTCGAATCAAACTGCACAATAATGAAAGGACATGTCCCCAAGTGGAACAGTGTGGCTCATATAAGCATTTTGAGTAGTTTTAGGACAAGAGATACATGGGATTAATACAAATGTAGTTTATCACCAGCTTCATCTGTCAATGTTCTTAGACGCCAGAGCATATACTGTAGGTTCCAAACAAATTGAATCACTGTATTTATATTTTATTTTGGTCTCTAAGAGCTAAGATACAAGACTACACATGTGAAGTCTTACCTGTGAGTTCTCCGATTTTCTCCAAGGTGCCGTTTTGTGACCAGTGTACGTCATCGATCCCCTCAAAGAAGCAGGCGGCTCCCTGGTTGCACCAGAAAGGTGCGAACACCTCGGGCCTGACATGAGGGAAGGTGCAGTTACCCAGCTGAAACAGCTCATACCACTCCATGGTGTAGTTGGCGCCTGATTCTGAACTGCTGAACCCAACGGCATCGTGCATGATGTGCTGTGAACCAAACGGAAACATTACATCGGCTCTCTGTTCGTGGGTAGACGTGTGCAGCTGTGTATCTATGAATAAAATCGCAAGTTAGCCATACTGTCTTTAAATACCGGTCTGTGTCAGAGAATATCTATGGCAACACAGCGTTATCTTCATCTCAATTTCAGAAAATGATCAACAACACAAAGACAATCAGTGTTAATGACGGTGACTTCAGGCAAGGCCACTGTTAGTTATTGGTATGAAATATTTTATACAATTATTTGTATCTGCATTGTATCAGTTATATTAACTGACAGTTTAATTACATAAAGTAATTTCCCCCCCCCCAAGTACAATTTAAAACAAAATATTTATATAATGACTACTTTTCATTTGAACTTGTTTAACTCAATTTTTATTTAAATTTGATTTGTGAACTCAATCAATCTCTTTGAGACAAAAAAGTGTTTGTTTTGTTGTTGTTTTTTTATAAATTGTATTATAAACACAGCATATGTCATTCAGACTGTATTTAACTTTTGGTCCAACACTCAATAATAAGTCCAGAATTAAGACTAAAGAAAGATGATGCCTCTTTACCAGCATTACCTGGTTGTTAATGTTTTATTCTACGGACTCTAAACTTGACCTCAATGCGGTGAAATATCAGCAACATGTTTGAACTGATAAACAAGAGGACTTCGTGAACTTACAACTTTCCCCAGCAGATCTCCATACTTGAATTCCCACACAGGTGTCTGCAGTCGGTAAACTGAGATGACGTCGCTGTCTCTCACGGAGGGAACGCGTCCATCCCGGTCTCCGGTGGGACAGAACGGGTAGACGGCTTCACAGTACGAGTCAATGGGAGGGCGACGACCAAACCGTCTGTTGATGATGATTGTTGGTGCATTACATCACGTAATATTGCATTATTAGGCTGAATCTGGAAAATAACTAGCAAGTAAGTTATTAAATTAATGTAACGGAGTAAAACTATCATATTTGCCTCTGACGTGTAGTTGAGCATAAAGTAGCAGAAAAAAATAAAGTAAAGTACAAGTGCGTCAAAATTGCACAGTTGTTGAGTAAATATACTTAGTTACTTTCCACCACTGATGGAATTCAAAACACGTCGTATACTTTAATTTGATTTCTCACGTGCTCTTCAGCCAGATTATCCGAATTCCAAAGTTCCCAAAGTCATGTGAACGCACCAGACATAATTTGGTAAACTGGCTTCCCTTTGAGCTAAAAGTCCTCTATTAGACCGAATAATAAACAATAATCGTATTTTAAGACTCGGACAATCAGAAGTTAGGCAGATACGTTTGAACTTATTCTAATCGGGTACTTTATTATTTAGCCGTCACATGGTTTTACAGAGCAGAATCAGCATGGAGAGAAGAGACTCTACGGTCTTCCTACCTGTAGGGAACGGGCCACCGCTGCTGTCCATTGTTAGTGAACTGAGCTGCTACAGGAACAACCAGCAGCACGTTTAAACACAGAAGAGTCAGCGCGTGAGCCATGTTAAAGCCTCGAAATCTGACGAAAAAGAAGAGGCTACGGTGACTGCGCTCCCATCATCCTTCCCCTCCGAATGGACTTCCTCATTGCTGGTCACGTGGTTTTGTTGATGATACGAAATCACATGACAGCTGGTCCAAACATCACCAGACTAGCTGGAACATTTAAAGTGACCTATTGACACATGTCCCCAAAATGCAGAGTATGACTGGCAGGACTTTGAGTGCTTAATTACCGACAGGCTGCAGGCCTCGTGACGATGTCAACAGGTGTGTGATTGGTCTGTTTTTCTTTAGACAGAATTAAAGCAGCTGAAGTGACTTTTCTCAGCGTAGTTAAAGCTGAAACGCACCTTCCTTCTGAATGCTAGTTTACGGCCATATTTATGTATTTTTGTTCTCCTTCTGAATGGATTTGTCTCAGTAGAGCCCTACAGATAAATGGTAAATTGACTGTGATTGATAAAATATAGACTACGTATGTTGACTGTAATTCCAGTTTCCTATGCTGATGAACATGTGGTTTGTTTAAACACGTTTCATGTTTGTACAGGCATAAACTGACATTCTGCATAATCCTGACTGAAGTAATCTGTTAATCAATTTCCAGCGAGAGTTGGTTAAATGAGTTTTCTTAAAATCATGTGCGCACATTCATTTCTTGTTCCCTCTAACTAACTTTTCTACTTATTCAAATGCAATTGGAACTGGACAGTTTAACTATTTCAAGCAAGTAATTCTATCAGAATGAAACCATTGCTACCACACTACAACGGTTTTGTTGAAAACATGTATTTTAAAATGTAATCTTCTCAGGGGTGCAGGAACGATTGCTGATCGTACCTGGCCGGATTCAGGCTCATTTTGGCTGAAGGTCTCACCGTTTGGATTCCGCAGGATATATAACTTCATTCAGGAGGAGTATGGAAATCCACCTATTATCATCACAGAAAATGGCATGTCAGAGCGAGGGCAGATTGACCTAAACAATATTCATAAGAGCTACTACTATGAAAAGTACATCAACCAGGTGCTGAAAGGTAACAAACCACAACTCCCATCGTATATATTTTAATTGAGACCAATATTTCATGTAGAGTATCTGAGAAATGATTGAAGTGTAATGGACTTTGATCAAGTACATGACAGGCATCATCTGCACTAGCATTGTGAAACAAGATATTGCATCATGCATGAAACACATGATTGTGATCCACAAGACATCTGTTCTGTTCCTCAATAAATAAGTCATTTGTTTGAGAAAAAGTCCACTTTGGCTTAAACATTTGGGAGCTGCAAACAAAATCAGATGTTCTCCTAAACCCTACTGATGTGTCCCCAGAAGCTGCACTTACAAACTAGCTTAGCATCAACACTGTAGAGATCAGCTAATGCCACTAGATGTCAATGTAGGTGTGAATTCATCCTGCTGGCTGCTTGGTTTCACAGGAGATTCAGATCCTCTTAATCTGTAACCCCCCCAATTAGAGAGAAATGCTATGATATTGTCCAACTAAAGTGATATTGTGTCATTACACTAAAAACATGTACAAATGTTTCCGTTCATGTTTGATGCCACGATGAGGGTTACTGACTATCTGGCAAACTGAAGCGGTCGATTCAGTCACAGATAACAAAACCAAAGTGAAATCATTAAAACAATGTATTGTGTGACTGATTCCCGCTGCAGTTTTAATGTACGCTAGTTGATATATTATTGATACTATAGATTAAGTGTTATGGGTATGATGTACTTTTTTTTTTTTTTAGATACAAATATAAACCTGATGTTTGTGATGATCAAAAGTGCAGCTCCTGATATATTGTTTTCGAGGCATTTCTGAATATTTCCTTTGTTAATGGTGGCTGGACTGCAAAGTAAAAACAACAACAAAGAAAGCTTAATTGCAGTTTTTCCAAAGTAAATTAACTAAATGAACACATCATAGGTGAAATTGTTGAACTATTCGTGTGAAAGTAACGTTCAACAAAATGTGGAAAAAAAGCTCATTGTTTTTGTCTATTTTTAATCTATCGTGATCAGTTACCAGTATTTACTCATGTATTTCCCCGGTCACTTTTGGACCCGATAAGCAGACTAATGTAACAAAATTATATTAAACAAACTTAATATGATAATAAAAAATGGAAAAAGCAAATAACATAAACAAGTATTCTCCCTCATTTTAATTAGGAGGAAAAATCTAAATACATATCATGAAATACATATCTAAATAAATCAATCAGTATCAAGTTAAATTATTAAAAAACAATTCCAACTTATCACAGTATGTAGAAATATTGAATGTTTTGTTGTCTTTTATTCCATTATTTTTTTCTATAAGTTTTATTTTTTATGGTTTTGTGTAAGAGTAGTAGATGTGATAATAATAATAATATCAATAATACAATTATTAACAATAATATTAAAAAATATATATATAATTGTTATTGATATTTTTTTGCACTGGTGCTACTACAGTCCATGGGCCCAGTTGTAAATATAAATAGTTATATCATAGTTAAATAATTTTAAATAGAATATATATCATAAAATAAATAATATGACATATTAAATATATAAGATTTAAAGCTGAAATAATGAAATATATCAATTGCAATTATAAAAGATACATTTTCTGTACAAATAGTTTTTAATGGCACAATTTCATGTAAATTCATTTGAATTATCTGTTTAAATTAATTGAGAATTTATTTGACGGATTAAAGATTTCAGAAAATCAACAGTAGCTGAGATTAGACAGATTTGATACGAACTAAGTGAAGAGGAAACGTACAACAAAAACTTGACAGAAGAAGAAAGAGGTGTTAACCTCACCATTAATAATTATTAACATGCATTTAGCATCTTCTTTCAATCAGCAGCAGCAGTGCTCTGGTTCAGACACAAGATGGCGCTGAAGCGCAGAGAGACAGCTGGTGACTGCAGAAGAAGGAAACGTAGAAGAAGGGGGGGCGTCCTCTCCGCTGACAGTCCGCCATGCTCACCCTGCTGCGCCACTTTGGTCGCAACTTACCGACGCTCAGGCCCATTCAGACAGTACATACAAGTTACTACGCCACACAGATGGGTAAGCGCGTGGCTGTGGTGTTGGCGGGCTGCGGGGTTTATGACGGCAGTGAGATCCACGAGGCCTCCGCTGTTTTGGTCCACCTGAGCAGAGGAGGTGCGAGTGTAAGTTGGAGACTTATCTGTCGGTCAAATGGATGTTGTGTAGTTTTGTTTGTGAGAGGAGGGGGAGGGAGGCGGAAGAATGAATCCGCTTGCTGCAGGCTTTGGGATCAGGTCAAATAGACCAAACTGCCATCCACATTGTTTGATTGCACACGTTGTGCATAACTTTTAAAGGTTCATTTTGTTTTAAAACAATACTCAGATGCCCATATGTGCATTTTAAGAATAATTGGTCACTTTAATTGTTCTTCCTTAGTCCTGATCATATTGGGTAAAGAGCTCCATTTTTCACAGGATTTCAGTGATGGGGGGGGAAACTTCCAGAAATGATTCATATGAAAATAGGCTCGTTCGAGATGAGCTGCGCCTCACCTGGAAAGAGAGAGCAGCAGGGGGCTTCATCAGTCTGTGACAAAGTGAATTGAATGTCTTTGGGTTACGTCATGTGGAGTTCAGAAACCTTGTAATTGTTTTTTTTTTATAGAAAGAAGTACGAATTAGTAATTTGAAGAAATTACCATCAGTTGAAAACAATCATTATTTGCTCTCCTCATGATTTCTGATGGAAATGAGCATCCTCCCCTCTGCTTTATCCACCGCAGGTCAACATGTTTGCCCCCAACATTGACCAGATGCACGTTGTGAACCACCTGAAGGGCGAGCCGTCCGAGGAGAAGAGGAACGTGTTGGTGGAGAGCGCAAGACTGGCCCGTGGAAACATCCAGGACCTGGCTAAACTCAGTGTTAAAGACCATGACGCCGTTATATTCCCAGGTTCGTTCACCACTACACAGCAGAAGATCTCATCCTGTTGTTTTTATTTTTTTTTATTTTTAGTCAAATACACAAAAGGTTCTCGAGTCCACCCTGAAAATAAGACTAAAGTTGGTGGCCATTTTTAACTAATAATATTCCTGACTAACAAAAGTTTTCTCCTTGACCAACCAACGAGTGTTCAAACGACTCGAATAACCACATTTCTTGCGACGTCTCTCAGGTGGTTTTGGGGCAGCGAAGAACCTCTGTACGTGGGCCGTGCAGGGGAAGGACTGCTCTGTGAATGACGAGGTTAAGGCGGCGCTGCAGGCGTTCCACGGCGAGGGGAAGCCCATCGGCCTCTGCTGCATCTCACCTGTCCTGGCTGCCAAGGTGTTTCCCGGCTGCGAGGTCACCGTCGGCATCGAGAAGGATGACAAGTGAGTCTTGACTGAGCCGAGCGGACAAGATCTGTGTTAAAGGGGAACTCCTGTCGTCTCACAGAGTTACTGCTGCGCACGTGGAGACAGTCGCATAAAGCCTTCTGTGGTTGTGGTGTTAGAAAGAAATGAGCTCACCAGATTTCCTCAACTCTGTTTTTGGATCGCTGCTCCAGGCTACATCAGCTGCCACTAGTGTAACACAAGTTGCATTGTGGGTATTGTAGGTGCCATGTTTTGACCAGGAAGAAGAATGTGTGGAATATAAAAGACGATATCTGGAATTCTGCTGCTTCGATTTTATTTTAGCTCACAGAAACTGCCAGCCGTAAACATGTGTCCCCGTTCACAGACCTTTGAGCTACTGTTCCTGCAGTAGTTGTACGTAACAGACAGTTTTCCTGTATAGTGAGGGATCGTTGGTGCCACTTCAGGTGTACTTACTTTCCCCCAAACAAAGTGCTACAGATAAATATATACATCTCAAAAAGGGAAAATAAAGTGATGCTCAATGAACAAATAGTTCAGAATATGTCCAAATTAAAGCCAAGACAATTGTGTACAGAATCAGAAACTGTTTGCAACTTTTGATTTGAGTGTATTCATTGTTTTATTTAAAATAATTTTTATATACATCTTAAATTGACATCCTTATTTCTTTTAATTCCTATTTTTCACAGCAGTCTTTCGTACAGCCCTAAGAGCATGCCACATGTCTTTTAACCACACATACTATTTGTAACAAATAAACATTTGACTCCTTCTGATCAGCTAAACGCTGTGCTCTCTCTCCTCTCTCAGGTATCCCGACACTGCCGACACCGCGGCGGCCATCAACCAGTTGGGCTGCAAGCACGTGAGTAAGAGCGTCCGCGAGACCCACGTGGACGAGAAGAACAAGCTGGTCACCACCTCTGCGTTCATGTGCAATGCTCCGATACACGAGGTATTCGATGGCATCGGGGCGATGGTGCAGGACGTGCTGAAACTCGCTTGATTGTAACAAAACTCGCGTGGAGAAGATAATTAGGGGGGGGGTAGAACGATCTTAACCCCTTGATCAAAAGCACTTCCAGAAACATGTTTGTAGTCGTGATGTGCACCACATGGTCTGATTTATTTAGCAAAAATCTCTGTGAGTCAATCTTACTGGATTATATTCTGATGCAGTGGATCGGTATCGTGTTGGCAATGCTAGCAGCTATGGTATTGTACAAAAACAAAAAAATGCAATAAAATTTTAAAGTTCACTTTCTCAGCGTGCTTTATTTCTCACTCACATGGAAGAAAATGAGGAATATCAAATATTTACACTGTGATTGTTGTGGAAAAGTTTGATGTATCATCACAAACTCCCTGTGCTGTATAACTGCTCGTCTCGACTGCTTGTCATTCTCAGGTATGAATTTAAGATTGAGTATTCCCTCACCCTCTCAATGTTCCCTATGACGTCAATCACGCCCTCCACCCCCTCTGTGCACAACACTGAGGACGCATTGAGGCTGAACTTCTCCACCAGGTCCTCCTGACTCACTGGCTTCCTCCAGTGGCCATAAAAAGTGTCACATCTGGCTGTGTGAGTCTGCCCCTGCTCTGTCTCTATCGCGACCTCGCAGTACATCTTGTCGAAGCTGGGCGGGTTGTCTTTAGGGGTCTCCACCTCCACTTTGGACAGGAGCTCCTTCAGGGCAGGCCGGTTGATCTGAGCTCCGCTGAAGGAAGACACCGTCACTTTGTTATCCAGCAGGGCGGAGGAAGCGTTGAACTGAAATGAGTGCCTGGCTTGGTGCTCCGTGGCGGGAAAGGGGCAGTTGATGTACCTGGATGGAGGCACTCTGAGTGTGACCTGCCTGATCTGGCTGAGGTCAAAGTTCCCGACTGTGTTTTCCAGCTTTGCACGTGCTGCCAGAGCCGCGTCCACCACCCAGTGCATCCCCAGGTGAGCGGGGATGCGCTTGAAGGCCACGTCCTGATCTTCCAGGATCCATCTGAAGTCAGCAGAGGCAGGCACTGCCATTGCCGAAGGACTGTAGTCCTTGTAGTAAACCCCAAACCCGCAGTTCATATCCAGGATGGCCGGATTCCCCTCCAGTCCCATTCCGGCCAGCTGGGCGGCCTCCAGGCCTCTCCGACAGGCGTTTCCTATGTGCAGAGGTTTGGTTTGCGTGGCGGCGTTGGCCAGGGGAGCCCCAGCAGAGGAGGCTGCGATGGCCAGAGCGTGACCGCACTGCTCAGGGGACAGACCCAGGAGCTTAGCGGAGGCTGCAGCGCTACCCATCACCCCAACCACGCTGGGAGGGTGGAATCTGAGAGGGTTGGGGGAGAGGACTGAAACATTAGGATCTATTTGGTTTTAATACAGAGTTCTTTAAGATTAGAGCTAAATGATAAGTCAGGTAAATGCAGAAATGCCACATGTTTAGTGGTTATGTAATAAATTGAGTATCTTTGGTATTTAGACTGTTGTTCCGACAAAACGAGCAGTTTGAGGACGTCACCTCGGGCTTAAGACAAATGATCAATTGATGAATATAGAAAATAATCTGCAGATTAATTTATGGTGAAAATAAAAACATTTTTTGGAGCCCTATATGATACAGCAGTTGAAAAACAACTTTTTATCCCTACTTTCTTCACTAGGCTTTGGGCAATCTGTCTGTGATATTTCTGCTCGCACTGTTAGTGGTGTTCACGGCATAAAAGCACGTTGAAAATTATATTTGAAAGACTTGACAGCAGCTTGTCTTTCTGTTGATTGGAACTACTTTCTGCTGAAGGAATATTCTTTGAGAACTGTTGACAGTGAGGTGTATGTATTATCAAGGTTGGGCCGGGGAAGTTTCTCTTGAATTATTCAATGCTGTGCGTACCACAAACTAAAACTCATTCACCACCTCCATCCAAAACCATCTGTATGGCTACATACCACTAGAGGTAGGTGTTCAACGCTTTATCACATCAAACACTTTCCCTGCACATAAAATTACAATTAGACAGAACATTGGCACATCAGTTTAAAGAGCCTGACGTTGGTTATTAAATATCCCACCTCTCAGGGATGTTGTAGGCCTCTCTGGAGAACCTCATGAGTCTGCCCTGCACTTCGATACCGACATTGAAGGCCAGCAGCAGGTCCAGACCAGAGGGCTGTCTTGGCAGAGTCTCTGCCAGGGCCAGCAGGGCGGGTAGCACAGCTCCAGAGGGATGAGTCGCAGGGTGCCAGGTATCGTCAAAGTCCATGGAGTGCACCTATCTCCAAACAACGAGACATCACAGATCAGACCTCCATGTTTGTGTTTTCTGTACATGAGGGTGTATTCATTTGAGTGATCTTACCGCGATGCCATTGACGAAAGCAGCGTAATGAGAAGGAAGAGTTAGCTCTGTTTTACCCCAAACACTGCTCCTCTTGTCAGACCGGAACAACTGCAATCAGACAGTATTATGAGGACAAGTGTGCAATCACACGGACGCAACTCTGTGCTCTGACGTGACGCTCCTACCCATTTCCAACATATATAAACATGAATACATAAATAAGCCGAAAAGGATCAACTAATTGAAGAACAGTAATCAGGTTTATGTCAACATCTCATAGAAAATAAAAGAATCACAGGAAACAGTAGTTCAACAATATATTTGTCAGCAGTAAAAGATATTTTACATTCAGTAGCTCAGTGTTTTAGTTTCTGATTGACACAGACGACTTGTGATGAGGCCAAAAGATATGACGATGATCACAGGTTGACAGATATTATGAAAATATATTTAGAATTAAATGTGTTTTCAATTCTACATCAGTGGAGATCAAATCTCTCTCATTAAATATGTATTACTTTTATATATGATGTCATAAGACATATTGTAGTGGGTGTAGTACGTCATTGAAGCACTTTTCCATACCTGGCTGTATGTGAGAGCCTTGTTGAAGACAGCTGTCCTGGTTCCTATCAGCCCGACGCCCAGGGTGTCCAGCATCATCCTTTTGCTCCTGTTAATCACACCATCTGTCAGCTGGGGGGTGTTGAGGCCGTGGATAGCAGCTCCAAAGCTCCCTGTAATACCCTGGAGTGGTGAAACAGGGCCGGTTAGATGCAAACCTCCACAGAGACGGTGCAGTTGTGAGGGATCAAACCAGGCTAAGAAATTCAAATAATGCTGCATCGAAGTGACTTTCAACCCCAAAATACTCTCCAAAATGTGCCTGAATGTAATCTCATATAGTGAAATGCTGAGAAAATGTAACCTAAAGAAAGAAAGTTATACCTTGCGTAGCATTGTTGTCTCTCAGCAATGTCTTCAACTGACAAAACATCTTAGTGCAGCCGCATTTATAGGTAAGTACAGTGTCTGAAGGCTGGTCTACCAAATTTCCAAAGTGTCCAAACCTAAGAACCTCCATAAAGAGAAGTGGGAACTTTCACAATGACTGACACAGAAAAGTTATTCAAAAAAGAATAGAGCTGCATGTTAAGAGGGAAACCACATGATTTCAAAGAAGCATGAACCCATGCTGTATTTTTTATTGACTCTATTGAATCCTGTGTGAATTCAATGACCGAAGTGTAAAGACGACTTTATTTTGGCTCAAATGAGTGACTCGGTCAGAGCAGATCATCTGCATGTGATGATAGTGGAAGTTCAGCTCTCTGCAATGGGAAGTTTTCAACGGGGAGATGAGTCGTCACCGACACGATGAGTAGTGGAAGAAGTAGATCCTTTACTTCAGTAAAAGTAGAAAGACCACGATCCATATACTCCATTACAAGTAAAAAAAAGTCCTATTCGAAATAAAAGTAAAAAGATAAAGGTAAGTATCAAAAGGGAAAGTACTCATTTTGCAGAATGACTCCTTTCACTGTGTTCATTTTATCATTGTGTTTATATCACTAACACATACACGGAAGAGCATTTTATTCTTGTAGTCGATGTGGAGCCATGTTTGGGCACTTTGTATACTGCTGGGTAGATTATACGACTGCATCATATAATATCAGCAAATCTTGTTTTGTTGTAGTGGAATAAAATGTACAACATTTCCCCCTGATATGTGATGGAGTAGAAGTATAAAGAAGTACAGAGTGGAAACCTGGTTAAATCCCACCACTGCTAACATTTTGTATCTGACATCCAGATGAACTCAAGTAACCCTTTGTCGACACCACCCGTCATGTTCAAAAATGGATTTTATGAATTGATTATCAACTTTTTTTGAACTCTTAAAGTATGTATTGTTTCTATATTTGTCTCTCAATACAATCTAATTGTCGATGTTAATGTTTGTTTGGTCAAGTTTGCATTCACACTACAGCCACTACAGAGAGGTAAAAGCTGAACTCAAACATTTACGCTTTAGTCTAATAAAACTAACTGTTGTTCATCACTTAACAATCTCATGCACTTATCTATTTCATTTAACTGTTTCAACTCCTCTGCTCGCATCCTCAGGTCCTCGGGGACTCAGGTTGATCGGCAGCATATACGAACAATCAGCATCACACCAGTTTGTAATCCTATGTGGTGTTTATTTTCCTCCTTAACACAGACATGGATATATTGTTAACACAATTTCTATTTTTTAGTTGAGTTAATTAGTCAAGCTTTACAAGCACCCTGTGGTGACTGCAGGAGTACATGGACCCCCTGGGGTAAGTGGCCCTGGTTGAGAATCACTGCTCTCTAATTTACAAAATTCTTAAAATTACAGACACAAGTATTGTTTATTGAATCTCCACATTACATTTCACCCTTTTAACCGACTGAATATGTTATCAATGTACTCAAATACAATGAGAAACCAAATACATGTACGTCCATCACTTAATTTAAATGGAGTCTAGAGAAGTTCATTGGGTAGCGAGATGGTGTCTGTGTGTGTGTGTGTGGGGGGGGATACATTTGTATTAAACGTTGTGGGGACTTAAAGTCTGATCTGTGTATTTCAAATAAATAAATATATATTTTAAAATATATTTTATATATAAATATTCTCACTTCTTCAAAAGGCTGTTTGAGGGACTGTGTGTGTGTGTGTGTGTGTGTGCGTGAGTGTTTGCGCGCGCGTTACTTGAGATGGCTGCATTTCCATCAGAGTTGCAATGGGTGTCACTCTTTCCATATTTTCTAACCATTTCTTGATTTCAGCCCTGGAAAAGCTCAGGCCATCTGCACGGTTTCTTGTTTTGAGTGTTCACATGATTTGTAAAGAATGAAAAAAAAAGTCTCATCGTGATTAATTTCATTAATTAAATAATCATCAGGAGGTGGCTGCATGCATATTAATGACAGGCAAGGAAACAAACAAACAAATGACACAATCAGATGTGGGTGCTTCAAGTGATGCTGGAAGAGACTACGCATAGGTTTGCTCTCTCTCTCTCTCTCTCTCTCTTTCCATCTTTGTCTCTTTCTCTCTCTCTCTCTACCTCTCTTTTTATCTCTGTCTCTCTCTCTCTCTCTCTCTTTCTCTCTCACACACACACACACACGCGCACACAAAGAATGAGAAAGAGGGAGCTGCACGCGCTCTGACCGCTTGCCTATAGTTTTTGGGCAAAGACACGTTGTAGTTAAATGCTAATTTTACGCTCGAACCCCGCATCGCGCACGCGCACTCACGCACGTGGTAAAGCAAAGGCTTCATAAACAAGCCGCTGCCACCTGGCTGCTCAGTGTTTCCACTGACCCCCCCACATCAGTGCTGCGGCTCAGAGAAGATGGCACTGGCTGACACGGAGCACGGAGTGTCCAACTGCGGTGACTCCGGCTCCCCGTTCCCGGAGATCATCGAGCTGAACGTCGGTGGACAGGTGTACGTCACCAGGCACAAAACTCTCATCGCCGTCCCGGACTCGCTGCTGTGGAACATGTTCAGCAAGAAGTCCCCCAAGGAGTTGGCGAGGGACAGCAAAGGGCGCTTCTTCTTGGACAGGGACGGGTTCTTGTTCCGCTACATCCTAGACTATCTCCGAGACCTGAACTTGGTCCTGCCGGACTACTTCCCGGAGAAAAGTCGTCTGCAGAGGGAGGCCGACTTCTTCCAGCTGCGGGACCTGACCAAGCAACTCAGCCCCCGCGTGAGTAAGGACAACTCGATCAGCGAGGAGATCGGCCAGAGCGACACGGAGGAAGGCGCGCAGCAGCAGTGCGGTCCCTCCGGCGGCGCGGAGACTTTGCGCGCCGTGTCGGTCGGCGGGGCCATGCGCTCCCCGTCGCTGGACTCCAGGAAGTCGGGCTACATCACGATAGGATACCGCGGCTCGTACACCATCGGCAGAGACATCCAGACCGACGCCAAATTCCGGAGGGTGGCGCGCATCACGGTATGCGGGAAGACGGCCCTGGCCAAGGAAGTGTTCGGGGACACGCTGAACGAGAGCAGGGACCCGGACAGGCCCCCGGAGAGATACACGTCCCGGTACTATCTCAAGTATAATTTTCTAGAGCAGGCGTTTGACAAGCTGACGGAGATGGGCTTCCACATGGTGGCCTGTAGCTCCACGGGCACCTGCGCCTACACCAGCAATGACCCGAACGAGGACAAAATCTGGACGAGCTACACTGAATATGTCTTCTGTCGGGATTAACCAGCAGGTCGAGGTTGATGTAAATAGACATTTCATAATCTAGAGGGGAATGTCTTTTTGATATAGTATTGCGTCTGCTGTGGTGAATGTCGAGTGACTGCAACGCATTGCTCCTTTATTCTAAGAATAATGCTCTGGTTTGTTTTTGTTTTCTTAAAACCAGAGACACAAAATGCCACTAAATAGAATCCACACAAACCAGTGGAAATCGAATTTGGACGCTCAAAAAATCCAAAAGTCCCATACAGTGTGGAAAACACCCCAACAAAAACACCATCATCTCCACCTCATAGAACTGCATATGAACGTCTCAGTCATGTCTGACTCAGTGCTGTGTGAGTTGAGCAGTATCCAAGAAGCAGCAATTAGTATTCAGTGTCTTTGTAACTTCTTTGCTTGATCACATGTGTTGGCCAAGTCTTGTATCATCCAACAGGCTCTCATGCATCCCTGTTCTATCACTGACATGACTGTAAGTGTATCTGCTTGCTCGGTAGTTGTGTTTGTTTAAAAAACCTGTTCAGGTGAAATAAAATCTTGTACTCGGCTATTCTCAGCACCCTTTGGCAATCATCCTGTCTTCTTCTCGTCATCTGCACAAAGTGCACTACAGAGCCGACATAGCATTCATCCCCATTTCGACCGTTTCAACAAAGAGTCAGCCTCAAAGGGAGATGCCGTGCCCAGGGAACGCCAGCCATCTAAAGCTGCCAGCTCAACAAAATCTGTCACAGTTTTGACTTACGAAATCCGGGGCCACGAACTTCCCATTGGCTCCGACTTGGGTCCATCACATCATATCTATTTTCTATTCATCTTCGCCCTGTTATTAACTCACACAAGCAGAAAAACCTCCACATATAGTTGCATGTGAATACTGTAGGAGGAATCCGTGCCCAACTATCCGTTTTTTTGTCACACAAATTCATTCACATGCCACGCTGATGCAAATGGTACAGCTGCACACACAATGTCATTATCATTTCAAGTGTAAATATTGAAAGGGTCCAGCTGCACACGAATAGGATGGTCCGGTCTACCAGGGAGAATGAATGGAGAGTGGATTTTGGTGCACCTCTTGTTGCAAGAGCAGAGTTATGCCCATAGTGTACAGCCAGCACCGGATTATGTGTGTTCACTCACATGACAAAGAGGCCTTACATCCAGAGCCACGGGTGGGGAGACTGAACGCAGGGGCTTATGGACCAGAGGCAGTGATGTAACCCCCAGTAGGGGTCCGGGGACATTCTCTCAGTGGGAACGTCTTTCATGTTTCATGTTCTAAATACATCAGTCTGGTTCAATTTGACCTTATAAATGTTCTATTTGGACATGGAGCAAAAAAATGTCGTAGGGATGGGGATCTGTTTGGAGATTGTTGTGGACACACAGACTCAAAATAAGTTGACTGTAATTATCTAGGCAGGACGACTTCATTGGCACGTCACAGTAGGAGAAGCACATGTAAACAACACTATAATGATGGCTGAATGCCATTCAGAGTTTCAGGGTCCTGGTGGTGTGCATGCTGGCTCACTGGGACACTTGAATTGTACCGAGCCATTATTCATGTTATTAATGACACCTGTCAGGTATCAGGTTTGGTATAGCTGTTACTTCATAAAAAGACAGCTCCACATGGACATTAACAGTCAATAAGTGAGTTAGAATCAACATGCCCTTTGAGTCTGGAGATATAGTCCCTTTATTGCTATTTGAGCAAGAGCAAGCCTCTCTGACAAGTTCATTTAAAAATAATAAATGAATGGGTGGAGAAGAAAAAAAAATCCACATAACTTAACTTTTTATGAACTATTGTTTTGTACTGTAACTTTCATTGAAATGTCAAATGCAGGGAAACACCCTGGAGATCACAGATATCGGCCTACAAACAATCACTGCATCACACCCACGGGTGCATATAGGGCGGCATGAGTGTCTCCACAGCACTATCATGTCTCTGGACTGTGGGAGGAAGCCCACTCGAACATATGAAGGCTGTCATTCCTCGCTGAGTAAAATCGTTCAAGCTGTTGCACCACATGCAGATGTAATCCCGTTGTGCACTCAATAACTACATTTCATCTAGTTTAGGGAGCGCAGGATTTTAAACATCTTTTAAAGGCTTTATTATCTGCAATTTGAATTAAATGATAGGAAGCCCCAAATGAGAGACATTTGGGTCTATAATTGTATTTATATCAATCTTTACATCCTGCTATTGCTTCATTCAGGGGCTCCAGCTGTCTTTTCAGTGTTCAGAAGCAGATATTTATATACCAGTCACGGTATCTGACTGTAATTTAAATGTAATTACTTATTGGATTTGCATTTGTTTTGAGAAGCACTGTGAAAAACGGAAGGAAAACAACAGAACAGAACAACCATTATGATTCTGGTTGGTATTGAATTGTGAGAAGTGGTAATAACAATAACTGTAGCAATTCACAGCACATAGTATAATATAGTAAACACAAATGAGTTACTGACAATTGCCTAAAATTCCCATGATTATGCTTCCTTTCAGTAAAATGGAAATGCCATAAATGCATTGTCAGGGCTTTTCAGTGCGAGTGATGATGGGATAGCAGAGAACAAACAGAAGGGAGCTGCGAGACAAAGGGAGGGGAGGACTGGAGGAAAGCAGCACCACTGAGAGAAAAATTACTTTTGATTGTCGACCATTGTTACTGTCCTCATATGCTTATCTCTGTCCGTAATATTTCTCTCTTTTCCCTCCCGCTAATGTGCGCATGCTCCACGCTGAGCTCCCCGACGCGAACCTCAGCAGATCGGGACTGTTTGAATTCCATGCGTGGGTCCAGGATGCGTTTCAGCTTCCCGAGTAATTTTAGATCAAAGTCGCTTTCATTAGCACATCACAAAAGTAACTCCGGACTAAAAGGCGTCATTACTCTAATGGAATTCTAAGTCAGAAATACATTTTAAACTCGAATTCAATCCGGGGGGGGGTTGCGCATCAGTCAGTGCAAAAATCTAAAATATCGTCCGTCTACTTGTAATTTTGACCACAATCTGCCTTCACAGTAAAATGTACAGCTCTTAGATTTTTCTCGTAGAAAAAGAACATTTAAATCACTCTCTGTACCTTTGTCTCTCACATGCTCACACATCAATGACATGCAGCAAAGGTCCGCCACTGAAATCCAACCAGGTGGACATTGTGGTTACATGATGCACCCAAACCGCTCGGCTACATGACGCCCTGCTAATGGCATGCTGTAGAAAAAAGGTAACTGAGTTCTTACAATATATGACTGAAAATGCATTCTATGCACATTTTTAACCTTAAAGTAGGCCACAGTAGCTCTTATTAAACCGAATAACATAAAAAGACAAAGATAGCGGACATTATCTGCAGTCGCCTGATTGCTGTTTTGGGGAAATGAATGTAAGTCTAACAACAATTCTGATGAATAATGTGTCAGCAGATCTGTACTCTCAGACTTGCTGTCAGGGAATCAGGTTAAAGCGGATGCTCAGGTTGACAGACTTTCGGATTAGACCAGATCAGGGTAAAGAAGAACTAAGTAAGAATGAAATGCTCATTTAACCGCATGCTTCAGTTGAATATACAATAACTGCAGAGAGAGGGCAAGAAAGACGGACACAGTTCTTATTCAACTCACTGAAGGCACGAATGCCGTGCTTGCTTGTTTTCATGGGAGCTTGGCATGATTGGGAGCTTCCTTGCTTTTGTGAGAATGACATCAGCAGGTGCAACAATGACGATATCACCCGGGATATTATATCAGTGATATTAATGGTTCGGCTTTCTATGTGGTCCAGAGAGACACTTCAGCCAAACGGGACAAAGATCGACTAACTGTGTGCCTGCATTGAAATGAATGACCGAAAGTACAGAAATAAAAATATTAGACAAGATTAGGAAGAAAAAACACAAGGTCCTGCTGAGCCCTAAGTGTGATGGTCCTGCTGATATTGTTATAACACCAGAAGCTTCAGACTGAGCATATCTTAAATGTCGCTGAGTGCATTCGACTTTCTTGAGTTTCTAATGTGCATTATTTTAGACTCCTTTTTTATTGCAGATTTATGTCATCATTTGTGATCAGCAGGCATTCAGACTGATGTAGTAATGTGCCCTGATCACCTGAGCTGAGATGCTGCTCCTGTCACAGCTCTGTCACTTCTATCCACCTTTCACTCACCTAATCAGTTCATTCAGTGCACCTGCCAGTCACACTCACCTCATCAGCTCATCACTCTCACCTGCTCACTCTGCCTCTTCACTATTTAAACCCCTGCCTCACACACACTCACTGCCAGATCGTTCTTTGCATTCATGCTCAACTTTCCCGCACTCACCCATGGACTGATTCCCTGTTGCCGACCCTGCCTGTCCCGGACTACCTCACCTCACCTCACCTTGCCTCTGCCCTGGTAACTTAGTCAGCCCTTTTGTCCTTGACCACGAGAAACCTGTCGGATTCTTCCAGAGAATCTTCTGCCTGTCGTGTGTTGCAAATAAAGAACTCAAATCATACCAGTCCTGGTGTTGTCGTACTGCTCCTGAGTCCTAACTACACCCTTTACAGCTCCATCCACTCACATGGCCATTAAACCTCCCACCTTTCATGCCAGCTTTTGAAAATGACAGCCATCAAATAGAAAATGTTCTTTCCACAGCTGCTTGGTGCACCGAGGCCACTCTTCTCACATGGAGGCCTTTCATTTGAGTGGTCTCGGCATCCCCACTGTTGGAAATCAGATGTCCTTTTAAGCAAGTGACGGATTTCTTATCTGCTTGATGCTCTGCACAGTTTTAATTGCTGTACGTGATTACAAATGCGCTTTATGCCTTTTTCTATTTGATCTTTGAACTTGAAAAACGGAACTATTTTTGTCTTTGCGTGGTTGTGCTTCCAAATTAAACTGTATTATTTTCTTTTTCACAGGGAGGGATCATACGTTGTTTCTTCTTCTCTGTTTTGAGAACAACAAATAGTCCTTATATGTTGCACAACATACTTAGTGTCATACAATACAGTACAATGTCAGACCTGTTTCTATTTTCTCACTGACTCTGGGAGGTTGTTACAAGTTGTCTGAGTCACCCGGTGAGAGTCGACTTAGTCCTCAATGACAGGGCTACGTCTGCACGAATGTGGTTCCCGTTTGAGTGCTATTCACATGAATTCAGAGGATTTGGTTTTGGTGGCCATCGCTGAAGTCTCAGGTTTTCCCCATCTGGCTGGGTTTGGAGAACAAGCCATTCTGTGTTTAGGAGACAGAATTACAGGGTGCAGTAGCATAAATAATAAAGGGGCAAAGTCTCAAGTCAGACGTCTGAGTTTAGAAATAAGCTTTATGAACGTATTAATGTATTACTATGGACTTAGAAGTGTGAGGCAGAATCAGTTGGAGTTCTGGGGATAACTGCAGCAACTGCTCTATATGTACTGGTACACTAACAATACATGCGGATTACTGTGCTACCAATCAATTATTGATGGCTAATCTTTCACCTCAGAAAATCAAACCTCTCTCAGATATACTTTCAACAATACTTTGGGCCCACTAAACGCATAGCTGTAATTTATGTAAATTATAGGCTTGTACATTCCTTTACAGTCTCCTCCTTAGCTATTAAAGTTGACTTGCCAAACAGCATTCACAGTGCACCAAGGACTCACGTATAAGTGCACTCTAGTTTAAGTGACGTGAACTCAACATACGAACCCCTATATGTTCACACTTATGATTTCCTTTCTTGCCGAGAGATGAAAAGATCGACTCACTCTCATGTCTGGACAGTTAATATGTATCTGAAGCCCCCAGCCGGTTAGCTTAGCATAGTTTACCCTAACAACTGGAAACTAGTAATTACATCTATTACCTTAAGACTCCACTAGTTGGCACATAACCCCCCCCATAAGATATAACGGGTTAACTATTGAGCTATAGAGATGCTGGTAGGGGCATTTAGTTAGCTTTGGACTGGGGTTGTTCCTATACCGAAAGCCTCAGATACAGCCTGAAACGCTGGATCGGTTATCTGCGAGTACGCAAGTCTATATGCACCGTTCCAATATCACGTTATCATATCATACTATCATA